TTTCCTGCTACTGTGTGATTGTAGTGAAGAGCTTGTGTTCCTCCCAATAGTGGTTCCAGAACTGGTTCATGTTATCTACAACTCGCTCTAAGCTAATTGATAAATAGATTGGACAAAAGCCCCAGAAGAGGGACCTGGTCATGCAACCTAATACTGGAAAGCAAACTAGAGGTTTTATTGAAGATAGGAAGAATCTGAATTTAAAGCTTCAAATGACACACTTTGGAAATCAGAAATCAAGAGGGGACGTCATGAAGGCAGCTTTTCTTTTTCTGAAGAAAAAATACAGGCATGGGCTGCAGGACTATTTAAAATGTCTCATTTACAGTACAAGCTAAAAGGCAGACTTGATTTTTACACCTGTGGCAGTATGAGTATTTGCCCAATTTATTTCCCGTTTCTCCCTTCCTATTGGGTGTCTATTCTTTTGATGTAAATAAGATAAGGTAATCAGATAGCCTTACTTAATGTTCATCATTTCCATTTATAAAGATTGTTCATATGTAGAATACTGGACACTTAATGTAGCACTACATAACTGATAAATCTGTAAATGAATTAGCACTTTCATATTGAAACAAGCCTGCTAGCCTATGTACAAAAATAGCAAAATGTTTGCTGTTTATAAAAATAAAAAATAAGGGATGTATTGGGGAAAATAATTTCCAGGTATTAATTTAAAATGAACTAGCAGTTTTGTACCTGGTGACTTTGTGGTGCAGTCACCTCTGGTTGTGACTTGAATTCGGTTATGTAAAAAGGGGTTAGTGATATTTCATTGCTGCTAAAGAAAAAATAGCAACACCCTCTGTGTCCTTTGTTTTTCTTAAAGATCTCACCGCACAAGGTAAAATTTGGATACAGGTGTGTACTGTAAGCACTGAGGAAAATGTTATCTTTTCTAAAGCAGGTAAATAAGGTGTGTGAAGTTCTGCTCTTACAGAGTTAATTGAAGTGTGTGGATGAAACATCTATACATGCAGTCTGTTAAAAACACAGCAGTTTCATTTGGCTAATCTGGGCTATGATCTACAAAGGTAATTTTTCTCCCTAATTTTACAAAATACTTTTTTTTTTCCAGCCTGTGTAGTAGTGCTGGTGCACTACTCTTGCATTTCAGTCCCCCTCTTTCTGCACTCCCAGTATGTGTGTGTGCTGTTGTCTGCCTGATCCAGACAGTGTATTTGAAGTTTTGCCAATCTTTCATTTTTGAAGCCACAATTCTCTTCCTCCAAAGTTGCTATAGTAACTAGTATTTTAGCTAGAGAGGCAAAATACAGATCCCTCTGGGACCACTATCAAAACCACTGTATGAAGAAGCCAGCAGGGACATGCTGTGAATGGGTTGGCTTAAATGCCCCCTTTTTCTTTTCTAAAAGCAAAAATCCATAGGTTTCTGATCTTCCCTTGAGATCGTTGGTGTCAGGTCTTTTAAATCAAATGTTTTGGGTTTTTTTTTTGTTGGGTTTTTTTTTTTCTTTTGGCTGTTTTTATATAAAAATGTCACCTGCTGTTACAATGGATATTAAACAAGCTACCTTAATTTAATGTAAGCCTCCAAAATTTAAATACAGGTTAAAATAAACTGAGTTTATATCTGTAAAAATGAAATGAACATATATATATATTATGATACTCAAAATGCAGTCTTCAGAAAATTGGTTTGTGTGGTGTGTTTTTTTGCATCAGCAGAGTAGCAGGAATTGGTGGTGTGGGGTTTCCTTGACGGGCTGACCAGCACCATTCTCTGCCTTCCATTTGCTGCATCAACCGCTAGCACTTCTCTGGGCAGGTGTAATGGGCTTTTCCAGTCACTCCTCTCTGGTCTGCCTTTCTTTGGCAAACAGAATTCCCTGCACACACAGTGCTATGTGAGAGTCTGAGCCAGGACTATAATGCCACGTTGCCCTAGCCAAATACCAAAGGGATACTTTAAAAGCAGATTGTGGACTTAAAAGGATGGGTATTGCACCTGATGTAGGAAAGCCTAAAATACTAAGCCTTGAATGAGAGTATCCATTACAGTAGTGGTATGAGTACCACAGTAGTACTTTTGAATCTTTAGCTGACTGGCCAAGTGCATATAGCAGAACTGTTTGGTTTTTCTTTGTAAATGTGTAGCTCATGAGCACGTACGGGTGTACACCGGCTCCAGGATATCTCTAGACAAGGTTTTATTTTTGTAGACAAAAAGTGACAGACATAATTACAGCATGCCTTTTCCTGTGCATTCCTTGACCTTGAAAAATGCCCAGTTTGACATGAATAATTTCTGAACATCTGCTTGTTGGTATCTGCTTATCTTGTTACACATCCCCAGAAACGTAAGAGAACCTTTTAGGACGGATGAGACACTTTGCCTCACAGTGGAAGATGCAACAGAGCAGGAGGGAGAAGGCTCCATATACAAAGCATACCGAAAAAGTGAGGGGAAAATCACCAGTGTTAGTGCCATTGTCATTTCTGGAACAATGCTATTTTTCAAGTCATGAGTCAAGGGAAGAATTTTATCTTGTTGTGAGGAATACAGTCTTCAAGGGTGCTTTTATGTGTCGCTAGACTGGGTAGCAAGGAGCATATTTTTTAAGAATGGATTTAGAACTTTGCTTTCTTTTGCTCCAAGAAATGTATTTATATAAATTGCAAAACAATTTTGCATTGTTGTTGGTGGTGATAGTGCATTTTGTGATGCAACATATCAATTTCAGTGATAACACTTATGTCACATTTAAAATTGATCTTCCTCCTAGAACTTGCACTTATCCATTCCATTTTCAAGGATAATGCAACTCTAAAGGAAGAGGTGGGAAATTTAAAGCCTCTGGTTTTTTCTATTATGGAAGATCTTGGATTAATAAACATCTAAAGCAAATCCTTATCTTCACTCATCTCAGTGTGGTGTTTTGAATGTAGCTGTATTCTTATAATACTTTGGAGTCCTGTTCTAGTTACGTAGCTCTAAGCTTTTTATTTTCCTCTCTAAAATACTTCTTCAGGCAAATGCTAGGCACAACCAAAGTTCTCTTAACTGTGTTAAATATACAAGGCTTTCTCAAACACTGTTTTAAAATGTTGCCATATTTGATAAATAGTAAGGATTTTTTCCTAAATCACTACCCTTAGAAGAAGTTTTCATAGTTGCCAGCACAGTACAGCAGAGCTCCGTTCGAATCTCTTGTAGCCTAGGATTACTACTGCAAGATTCAAGAAGTCTGCAGTGGATTAATTACCAAGTACCTCACAATAAACAAGGAGATCATTTTAATAATGCCTAGTAACCTCATTAGTTTTATGGATTGATTTTTATTCTAAAGGAAATCTCTTCCTCTTGCCACCACCAGCTCTCAAATAGAAACACCATGAAGCTTCTCTGGGTTTTATTTTTGCATGTTTCCAGTGTGTTCCTTTTCAGTCCTTCCTTACACATACGTTCTCTTGCTACCTATTCTCACTTTTGTTTTCATCTTTGGTATGTATGTGATCAGCAATGGATGACCACCACCTCTGAATATCCACACAGAAGTGGGCATTTGGTTTATTTTTGTTAAATATGGTTAGGTAGAGCACTGCAGTTCCACATTTCTGCTCAATTCAGTATCCCAGGTTTGCACCTGAATGCAAAAGTACAAGTTTATCAAAATTTGGAAGTCTGGAACATCCAAGGCTGGCTGTATTCTGCTTTTAAGAGTCTGTAACAGCCACAGCTCAGTTCCTTGACCTGGGTTTTTCTCTTCCCTGTGTTCTGTGAGGCCTTCCACATACCCAGAACCAGGAATGTGGAAAAGCTGTCTGGTGTTGTGATATTGATTACTAGTTACATTACTATCAGTATGTAGCTTCTGTCTTAAATGGTGTATCACTGGCTTGGTATTGTCATATTTCTGCTTTTTATAACATGCTAAAAACAGCAAGCACTTCAGAATAGGACAAGAGTTGAGGATCTGACAGATGTTGATGAGTCATCTATTAACATAAAGGAGTTAGTAAACCCAAAACAGAACTTTATCGTGGGTCTGCGGCAGTAATTTGTGTTCTGGGTGGGTGAAAGTTTCGAATTAATAAACAGGAAGGAAAACTTGAAACTAAGAAAGGAAAACTGCTGTTAGCCCTATCCCAGAATAAGCTAGTTTACCTCTTACTGTCTCACGACAAGAGTTTAGAGCTCATGTTCTGCAGCCAGAAAAATCTGAAATGCTTTCATATGTTCAGAAACTTCAAGTTAAGCCCTACAGATCTGGGCACATTGTCCTGTCAGTGGTGACAGTTCATGTTAATTGCACAGTTGGATTTTCTTCAAGAGTTATCTACCAAAATAGTTGTAATATCCTTTAATTGCTCGATGAGCCGTTGTTGGCCTGGTGCACGTTTCCATCTAAAGATAAACATTCCAAACGTAGCTTTGAGAGTCCTTATCCGCAAGAGCGGGGCTGAAATGGCAGAAGATAACGTGCCCCGGGCAGCCTCGCCGCACAGCACCTCTCCTTCGGCCGCCGAGGCTCGGAGCCCCGCACACCGCCTGCCTCCACGAAGACGGCGGCACCCCAGGCCCTGCTGGACACACCGGCGCCGCTTGTGGGGGCCGCAGCCCACGGCGGCCGCGGGCGAGCCACTGGTCCCTCTGCGCTAGCGCCCGGCGGCACAGCTTCAGGCGTCCATCTCCTCGGGCCGCGCCACTCCGGACCAGCCGCAGGGGGCCAGCAGCCCTGCCTGCGGCCACGCATTCCCCTCTCTCACTTGTTCTCTCTGCGCGGTGCCCACCGAGCGGCCCGCGGTGCCGCAGCCGGACGGCCTCCGCCGGGCAGGAAATGGCGCCCGGCTCTCTCGCTCCCCTGCTGACGCACTAGCGCCTCTCCCCGGTGTACAAAATGGCGGTTGCGGCCCCGAACCCAGCATAACAGAGACGCCATGAAGCTGCGGGGCGGGACTACGGGAGCCTAGCCAATGGGCATTAACACGGGGCCTGGAGGCTGCCAATGGCGAGCGGAGGCGTTGACGCAAGGCGCGGAGCTCCCAATGGGAGCGGTGGTGGTGCTGTGCGCGAGGCCCGCCTGCGCGGCTCGGGGCGGTGCTGAGACGGGCGGGCGTTGAGGCGGCCGTTTCCTGTCCTGGTGCATGGTGGTCGGACGGAGGAATTGTTGGAAAATTTCTCGGCGAGGTTAGTATATAAATGTGTTTTTACCCAGTGTGCCTTATTCTAACCACCGCCATCTCCGGCTGGGGCTGCTGCGCCGCCGCGGGCCGCCGCCACGGGCCTCGCCCGCCGCGCCAAGCGCAGGCAGGCGGCGAGGGGCAGCGAGCGGGGGCAGCGCCGGCACCGACCCACACGAATAAAGCCGCGGCTCCGCCGTCCGCCTGCTCCGCGCGGCCCAGCCCCTTCCCTCCCCTTTCTCCTTCACCGGGCCTGTCCGCGCCTGCCCGCCGGGAGCCCGCACCACGGGGCGCGCCGAGCCCGCGCCGCCGCCGCCCCCTCCTCGGCCTTGCCCTCGGGGGGCGCGGGCCGCCCCCTCGTGTGTGCGGGACGCCCGTTAGCCGTTGCCTCAGAGCTGGGAGGGGTGTCCTGATGCGCACTCTGCCCCGCTCCCAGCGCGCCTGAATCTGGCTTCTGATTTATTTTTACTTTTTTTTTCTTTTTCCGTTTTTTATTGTGTCGTTTCCATTCTGACGAAGAGCAGGCTTGCAAAGCGGCGTTAATTGTCTCCGGAGCTTGCTCGGCCTAACGTGCGGCTCGACCCGCATGCGTTTGGGAAGGAGCAGTGCGCTTTTCTCGCACGAAGTTGCTTATTTTTGACGTTGCCGTGTTGTAGTGCCGTAGGCGCGGCTGGTGCCGTGCTAGCACAGGAGAAAGGCCTTACACGGAGCTCGTGAAGCCGTCTGATGTAGTTCATCTCAACTCGCGAAAATACCACGCAAAATAATTCTGAGCGTTTCACAGCTGCTTTTTCTTGTCGTGTCCTTAATCGGTTTTTGTCGAACTCCTTATAGAACAGGATACCGAGAAGGTGTTTCTCTAGAAAAAGTGCCTGCAGTAACGCAAAGATTTTTTTTTCTTTTCTTTTTTTTTTTTTTTTTCCTAATGAGGTCCTAAATGCGGTGTTCCTAAAGAAAAAATTAGGTGACTTTCGTATTAGTTAAGTTAATCTCTTAAGGGTTTGGTTTGATCTGTCAAAGTACACTTGGCGCTATATACAGAGCTATACCAGTACTTTTAAGGAACGTTATTCCTGGTTCCAGTGATACAAAAGCTTCAACCTGACAGACTTTAAAAGAAAATGTTTTCTCTTGGCATGCAGTACTCTCAAGATTCGGTTTCAGGTGTTGTAAAACTGTTGCACCTCAGAGGACTATGTGCAAGGTGTTTCATTTGTAGCTTCAGGATGATTGTACCTGAAAAACTACGTTTGTCCTTAACTCGTAGCTTTTTAAGCGGAGTAGTGTCTGTGCAGTAGATTTTAGCTTGTGTATTTGCCGCAGGGCTTTAGAATGTCAGAGTACAATGCAACTGTATTTTGATGGCTTGTTTCTTTGTATCTCACGCGTTAAAGTCTTGAGTTTTCAAGCTGTGTATATGTTAGAAGCTATTGGTCTGAATCACTGCAGAAAATGAAACTCAGGACTACATAGTCAATATATATATGACTGCTTGGTAATAGATTGCAGCTTAAATGAGATGTAAAAATAAACATTTTAAACAATTTTGAAAAATGTATTTCAAATTGCATAACTAACATAAGCTATTCTCATACTGTAATGGAATAATGATTAATTTCTAGTATCTTATCTGAGGAAGGCTAATTTTGCCTTATATTAAAGGTTCAAATAAAGTAAATGCTTAAACAAGTGTAAAATTTTATTTAGCTAGAAAGTCACACTGGCTTCACTCTGTCATGCCTGTGTAGCATTTGATACTTCAACATCAAAATACTTCTGTCATGAGCTGGCAATCCCTTTTCTGAGAGGAAACAAGCACAGCAATAATGAAATGATGAATAGTCCCTGGTAATAGATGCCAAAATGTTTGTCTCTAGGATGTCTCAAATGATGTATTGTTTTCAGCCCAGCAGTCTGCTGCTGGCCCACACTTTGCTGTTATGTACTCTCCAGGAGAAGGGGACTAGTAGTTTGTGCGGTGCACAGGTCTGTCACAGGCTGCTGCTGTGCCTGCTCACAGCGGCACTGCTAGAGTGGACTGCCTGAGGGCTGCTTTCCCACCCATGGGTCTGGTCGATGTGTGGAGGGATTAGACTGAGGGTTCCCTTTATTTCACTTCGGTGGTGGAAATGGTATTTTGCTGGAGACTGTTTTCTGGGCATAGCTTAAAACTGTGTGTGTGTGTGTATTCTAGCAAACTTAGCATTTGTCTTAAAATGTGTAGGTTTTGTTTTAAAATAAAGCTAAAAAGACGACAGTTTTGAGCTGGGTTGCTTCTTTTACAGTGTAATTTGCCTTCATTTAGAGTGCGGGATGTTGATCTTTTCTTGCTGTTGCATGTAAATTTTGGCTTTTAAGAGGTTTGGATTAAAACATGCTCTCAGCATAGTTGGAGTCTCCGAGAAACGTTGTTATTAAATCCTGAGGAGTCTTTAATTGGCACCTGCGAAACTATTTGTTTTCCAAAGCATAGGGCTCAGCTGAATTTGGATGAGTTTCCACACACAAAGCAAACAGCACATTCCTAATAATCAGGGCAATTCCTCCAGTTTCAAGCGTTTTAATGGACAAAGGGAAGTGCCGGCGAGGAGGATCTAACTCGTCTCAGTGCTCTTGGAGTCCCAATGCCTTCATTAGTCTTTTCCTGTCTGCATTTTGACTTGTAACCTCTTCCTTGATCACCCGTGTGTTTTCTGCTTCTGATGTTCTCTTTTGTAACTTACACTGGCTCTGACATGTGCTTGTACATACTATAGCATCTCAAACCAACCTTTGCCGTTTCTTTGCCACTGGCTTTATTCCTGTGTTAAATCTCCTGTGCATTTCTACAGCTCAACAGCAAGCTTTCTGCTCTTTTTTTTTTTTTTTTTTTTTTTGTTAATTGGTGGGTACTTTGTGTTTTAATCTCTTCTGGGCTGGAAGAAAGAGAGCATGAACTGGGTAGTCTGTTTTCTGTGCCTTGTGCCACAGAAGATCCCAAAGCACAGAAAGAAGGTTTCTGCTTAGATTATCGATCCTTAGGATGGACTGTGATCTGAACAGATGGATCCTCTTCTGGAATGCGAGAATTCAGTTCTGAAATGCAACTTCCTGTAAAAAGAGGTGCACATAGGTATTGGTTTGAAGATTGAGTGAGGAATCAGAGGGAGGTACCTGTCCATTGGATAGCACATTTCTGGGGAGGGGGGAAGGAAGCCTCCCTCATGGCACAATGGTGTTTATGGGGTTCTGCATCTACCTGAAGTCTGTAACTTGATCTGCCCTTAGTTGTGTTTACTTAAGGGAGTATGGTTTTGGTCCTCCGTGCATCGGGTACTTAAAACCCGAATTGGACTAAATTGGTGAATGCTTCCAATGACTAAGTCTGCTAACATTTTCTGGGTTATATTGCTTTCTTAATTGTATAGTGGGATTGTACTCTGCTCCACCAAGATAATACTTGTGAAATAAACTAAATTCTCAGTTTTGAAGGGAATTTACAGTTCCAGCAAGTTATGTGATGTTCAAAGTTAGTTACAACTGACTTGATGCTTCCCTCAGTCTGCCTTTTAATGTCTGCTGAATGTTCTCTTCTGTGTACACTTCTTGAGTTAATGCTCTTGGACTCATTTCTGATGACAGACACGTCTGGAATTGGAAGATGGATCTGGTTTTGCAAGTTAATTGGTGTTGCCCATACCCTAATTGTATTCATACTGAGCTAACATGGCACTACACAGAGTTTCTTAGAATATATAAAAATGTACCATTTTTCAATTTATGTTTGTAATTCAGGGTAAAGGTTGGCAGTCCATTGGCTGTTCATTTAGTTCCTGAAATACAAGCATAGACTAAAAAAAAACCACTGCTGTTAACTGTTATGGCTAACACTGGTACATTTTTAATGCAGTTATTAGATTACTAAGTAACTCATAACCATACAAAACAACCCACTCGGAATTCCCTGTTTTGTTGGCACTCTCAGTGGATTTGCAGGTGATGTAAATTGGACACTTCTGTGTTTTCTTGACAACTAAAGAGAGTTGGAAGTCTGTTTGACATGACAGTAAAACATTGATAGAAACAGTTGGTCTCATTTATTTTGGATTTTTAGCCCTTAAATATTCACCTATTCTCCAAACATTCCTAGTTTTATTTAAAATGTTCACCAATGTAACTGGAAGGTTTATGATTTAAGGATTAATCCTGACATGTTTCAGAAGTTAATGGTATTCATTTGCTGTAGATAGGCATTAGTGCTCATTTCTAGGAGTAATTTGGATACAATGCTGACATGCATAATCTGTATGCCTTCTTTGTATAGCCAGGATTTTGTGTATATATATATATATATATATTTCATACACACACAAAAAACAGCCCCCCAAAGCCAGTAGTTTTAAAAACACGGGTTTGTTGATTAAGTGTGTTTCTTACTTTGTGATTTCTTAGGGGAAAATCCACTTAGAATGAAACCTAGTGCTTTATTTCAGTAATGTGTGCTAAAATTATTTAAAGGTTTTTGGTTGTTTGGTTTTGTTAGTTTGTTGGATTCTTTTTCCTTAGAAGTTTAAAGGTATTTTTCAACTAAAAAATAGAAAATCAGGTAACCTATCTTTTTTCATCTTTTTTCTCAAGCTTTTTTCTCATCTGAGGCCCAACATTCATTTTCTGAGTGTGAATAATGTAATTATTTATCCTTACTGTGTTTTTTTTTTCTATTAAAAAATAATTTATTAGTAGTCAGTCTGCAGTAAGGAATTGGGGTTTGCTTTTAGAAAAGGGAGACTGAGCAGAGGTTATACGAGTTTGGCTAAGTGGAGAGAAACTCACTGACTTGTTTTGGTAGGTGAGTTACATTATTCCTGTTGCAGTACACCTGTGAACTATCTCATACACACACACAGGTGTTCTGAATGATGTGTGTTTTCAGTCATATTTGAATTTGATGGTTCTATACAGATTATGTGTCCCACTCTCAAGCAAGCCTATGCAGCAGTGTGTTAAAAGTAATGGTCTCATGAGTGC